CCGCATCGGCGTCGGGCTCGTCGCGCAGGCACCGGGGGGGATCGATCAGGGTCTCAGGAGGGGGTGGGTGGAGGCGAGGGGCGGCGCGGAGACGGAGTGGTCGCGGGAGCGTGTGGTGCTGTGGTCGCTTCACCAATATCGTCGGGAAGCACGCCTGAGCAGCGGGGCGGAGAGGCGTCGGAGCGGGGGGTGCGGGCGGCCCAATGCCCGACGTAGGGATGGCTCCGGTCTCGGGCGGGGGGGGGGTGGGGGTGGAGCGGCGCACCGGCAAGCTTGTTGAAGGGCAGCTCGATCTTCGTGATGAAGCCCTCGGCGTCGCAGGTGATGCCGTGCCACTTGCAGCAGCTGACATGGGTGGTCATCCAGCCCGAGTTGTTGTGCCACGAGGCGCCGCGAGTCTTCTCAAAGAGCGTCTGCAGCGCCTCGCACTGGCCTCGTGCGGGCACGATGGGCGCGGGCGTGGGCTCGGGCGTGGGCACAGGCGTGGGCACAGGCGTGGGCGTCGGTGCGGCGACGGCGTCGGGCGGTGCGGCCGGTGCGGCGGCCGTTGTCTGCGCCGACGCGCCGGCGAGCGTCGCGACCAAAACACAGAGGTACCGCATTCTCGTGACTTCGCTGAAGAGTGTCTTGACTTAGGCGCCGACATCGGACCCCTACACAGGCCCTCTACCAGCACCCTCCGGTCAAGCTCTTTAGCTCGTCGTTTGTGGTCAGCCGCGAGGAAGTGCAGCGAAAGCACGCCTCAAACTCATGCTCAGACTCCAGAGGTTGCGTGCCACCTGCTGGACCAGCTGTGCTGGACACATCCCTCCTTCCTTGTGAGAGAGAGAGTGTGAGAGCCCAACTTCAGAATCGTGTGCTTTTTGGGTTGGGTTGGGTTGTTGGGTTGGGTTGGGTCCTTGGGTTGGGTGGTAGGTCGTCGGCGCGAAGGGTGAGGTCTCGACCGCCGCCGCTCACGCCAGCGGACGGCCACTGCCGGTGTTTTTGGCTTCGCCACCAAGGCGTGCGCCATGCGATCGCCGACATCGAGCGAGCACGCCTGTCCGACGAGCGGCTTGCTGTGCGGACGCCTTCTTGT